TGACAACTGTTGCCATTTTTTCTAGATGTTTCTTATCTTTGTTACTGTTACTTTGACATCTATTTAATTGGATATAATGAATAAATATTATTTATAACCGTGCGTATTTAAAAGTGGACTAATTTTATGAACATTTATTCATTATTATTCAGCACCTCATTGAGAAAAGTACTTGGTAAGTGCGCTTATACGCTTTGAAAAAATATTACATCTATAACAGTTGTGTTGTTTATGCCTGAGCTTTCCCGTCTTCTCATAGTATTTGATTAGGTATGCATCCTATCCTGCTTGTATCGCCTTTAAATCCTGTCTTATCATTCACCTGCTCTGATTTATGGTCTGTTCAAATTTATATCCTTTTATGACCGTCAAAACAGAATTAAACGGTTGTAAATAAAATCTGATGTTGACAAATAATACCCATTTGTTTCTAAGTGTCGCTTATTCTAACTGTACACGGATAGTTGATTGAAAATGTCCAAACGAGGGTCAACAGACTGGTGCCTACACTACGGCACCTCAGCTACCCAAAGAGATTAGAACGCCTGTAATTGCCTAGCTTATACCACAGACAGGAAAGGGGTGACCTAATTGAAGCGTATAAACGGTGGACGGAAATAAAGTCCACAGGAAAAAAGTCACATGACTTGTACTGCTGAGCAGCCAGCCCTTCTTCTACTGTTGACGACCTGACTACAACTCGACCTCTCTGTCGATCACTGGCCTTCCGAGAAACCTTTTTGGGGGCAACGCCCCTTGGGGGTCTCCGCCTTTGGAAACGACCACGACTGTCACCCAACTACCTCACGAGCGTTCAGGACTGTCAACGCTAGTTAGCCCTCCCCACGGGTAGAGTGAGTGACCCACACTCCTGCTGGAGGGCAGCTATTGAATGGCAGTACTGACGTGGTTTGAGGTCTTTCTCTCTTGCTGAAATCCTTCCTTACTTACCCTGGCCGAGGCACCTGCTTATATTTAAGTATTCGTGCTAGAGCCCCTCCAGTGGAGCACACCTCACAGTAGGTGGGATTGTGTGTGTCCGTTGGGGGTCGGGGAACACAGGCCAATCCGGCAGTGGAAAAACAGTGATAGTGCAGTTACACCACTGTCCGGGGGTCGCCTATAGGCACACTAAGAAGGGTCTTCAATAACCTTCTTTATCACCCACAATTATATGCTAGGAAAACACAAACAAATAAATCATGGCTACCAAGGTTAGACTCAAGATTATAGACAAGAGAACAGCCCCTTCACGTTCTCAGATAACGGAAACAGCGTATGGTACACTCAATGTACCCTTCACAAGGATTTTCTCCTCGAACGATGGATATACTGCAATATGTAGGGACTACAGGGATGCGGATACCATTCTGAGCCCTGAGGGAATGCAAGCCTTTGGAGACATAGGACTTCAGGTCATTATGCCACCAGAGGTTAAAGCAAAAAGATCAGTATTTGTACGTGGACTTGATTACGAATTTGGAAAACACTCGGCACAAGAAATAAAAGAAGAACTAGAAATAAAAAACAACTGGATGAAAATCGAAGAAGTGGTAAAAATAAAGCAATACACTCATTGCCTAAAGCTGAGATTCACTGACACCTCAATGGCAGACAAGGCCCTGGAAACTGGAATCTTGGGGTTCAACATGTCAGTACTCCCTAAACAACTAGAAAGGGAGAAATATGTTAATATTCTCACCTGCTTCATCTGCTATGCACATGAAGCACATGCAACAAAAGACTGTCCTCAAAAGGAACTTAAAATATGCTCGGAATGTGCAGAAGAAGGCCATACCTTCCGGGACTGCAAGAATCATGCCAAAGCTTGTATAAACTGTAAAAATCAGAAGGAACCTGGATATAAGACCCACAGAACCCTAGCAATGGCCTGTCCATACAAGAAGAAAATAATAAATGAAAAAGTAGCAAAGGAAAAACAACAACAAGAACAGAAGGAGAATATAACATATGCTGCTATTGCAAAGAAAGTAGTGGAAGAAACAACACAACCACAGAATACCACCAAAATTGTACTGAGCGAAATACGAGACTACAAAGTGCTCATCTGCCTATTATACTCGCACATAATGAACATAGGGAACCCAGGCACGTTCGAAACAGAAATGAACAAAATGCTTGGAAGGAACAACCTCCCAATAATGAGTTTCCCAGCGAACCCAGATTCCGGATCTGTGCTACAAGCGTCCAGCTTAACCAACCCAGATGCACCACAAGAGACAATCAACGCAGAAGAAAAAGGAGCAACGGAGCAAACACCAGCCGCAACAGTACACGAAACAACCGAAGCTGACACGGTAATGTCACAAAGGATTGAAACATCTACTCAAAGTACAGCAGAGAGGCAGGACCTTCAAAATAACATCGAAAGAGAGACAGGAGCCGTGAGGAAAAAAGTCTCAACAGCAACCATGGATACCCAGGGCGAGGAACCGCTACTGACTTTAGAATGTGCAGATGATTGTGACCTACAGCTTCACTGGTGTGACAGAGTATTTGTCCCCATTGTGAATGTAAAACGATGCCAGACATTATACAAGCCATAACAAAACAAGAACTAAAATGGACCTACTCTAACGATAAGTACTCTGAAGCACTAGTGGAAGCTTACCTGATAAACCAAAGGATTAAAATAAGGAGACACAACTTCAAAAAAGAAGAACAATGGAAATTCCAAAGAATCCGTAACGGACTGGTTCCGGACAAGAGATCGCCATCCGAGCAACAAGCAAGAAACAAAAAATCAAAATACAATGAATAAAGAAAAACCCAGAACACTTACCATCATACAACACAATGTCCGCAACTGGGAAACAAATAAAAACAATCTTGCAAACACATACCTCAGTATTGATCCGGACATAATTTTAATAAATAGTCACAGCAATTCAAATTCCAAGAAAATAAAAATATTTGGATATACAATCTACCAAAGAAATAAAACAGAAGAATTAAATGATGGCGTGGCCATTGCTGTAAAACACATACTAAAACATCAAATCATCGACGAATTCCAGGATGAATTCCTGGGAATTAAAATAAGTACCACACTAGGAGAAATAGCAATAGCCACAGCATATTTACCGCCAAGACGGAACTACCTGCCGGCCCCAGACTTGATAAAACTATTGAACTACAACTGCCCAACATATATAATAGGAGATCTGAACCCAAGACATCCAATATTCGGCCACGGAAACAGGAACAGGGTGGGCACTACACTGCATACCATAATGAACACAGGGAAGCTGATCCACCTAGGACCACACTTCACCACATTTATTGGCAATAACAAAACAACAACCCCAGACAAAGTCTTCACCAATAACAGGGCATTCCTGAATTACCATATAAAACAAGGACCACTAACTACCAGCGACCACATTCCAATGATAATAAAACTATCCACAAGCCCAATCCAAGTACCAACTACCCCACGTTTCCAAATGCAAAAAGCAGACTGGGAAGGCTACAGGAAGCAACTAGAACAAGTTAAGATCCCAGATCTCCAAGGCAAAACACTAGAAGATATTGACAACGAAACAGATACCCTTATACGTAACATCAAAAAGGCAACAGAGAACAACATACCAATCACAACATATCGAACGCTACCACACATCAGGACATCCCATGAACTGCGAATGCTCCAAGTACAATACAATAACATAATGATGTACATACAAAATTATCCACCAACAACAGAGCTTATGAGAAACTTAAGGCAAATACAACAAAAGTTAAGAGATGAAAGCCTGATAGCACACCAACAGATATGGAACGAATTAATAAACAACCTGGATACCACAAGAAATGACAAGAACTTCTGGCAAAACGTAAACAAAATGCTAGGAAACGACAAGCCTCAACAAAAATACATAAAGGACCAAAACGGGAAAAAACTCTTTGAAGAAAAAGAGATAGAAGCCGCATACAGAAAAGAATGGAAAAAAGTATTTCAAATATCAGAAGAAGAAAATGAGGAATTTGATGAGGAACACGAAAATCATATCTGCAGAGAAATGGCTGAAATGATACACAGGATAACCCCATACCATGTGGTGGACAAAACCAGGCTCAACCTGACAGAACCAATTACAGAAGGAGAACTGCTACACTACATCAGGCACACTAAAGAAAAAGCACCAGGATTTACAAAAATCACAAGAAATATGATCTTATACCTACCCAATAACTGCACACAAGGCATCCTTGAAATATTGAACTCAGCTTTGGCAAGTGGATACTTCATTGATGCATTTAAAAACGCAAAACTCATATTCATACCGAAACCGGCCAAAGACCACACCCAAGTAATCTGGAGCTGATAAGGAAGAGTTGGAGGAAGTGACACAACAACCAGGATATGGAGAAAGGAAACCCGGCGTGGTGACTAAGACTAGTCATACTCGGGTCACGTCCCTAGATGGCGTTGCTCGGTAGTACTGGGTAGTTAGATCATGACACAATAGATGGCGGGGTTCGTAATAAATTAATATACAGGTATACTGCGGGAATTATTAGGCCTATTACGGATTTCTTTATTCTAATGCCCTTTATGGTTGTCGACTTTGTTTTTTATTCTTATTGTGTTTATTAATTGTATTCTTATTTATTCAATATATTGATTTAATGGAGAAAAAATAAATCCTGGAAAATATACTATAGTATATAAGAAACATTTAACATTGTTACGCTTCTCCTAGATATTATTATTGTTGTTAATTATTTTCCTCTTCACATTAATCTAAATATTGCCCATATTACTGCATTCCCTTTTAATAAATCAATATATTTCGTGTTATAAATATCACAATATTTATAGCAAATGCTGCGCCTGGGAGTTCTTGTTGTTTATTCTTTTTCTTTGTATTTATTTTATCCTGTTATTCCTATTATTATTATGTTGCTTCTGTATATTCTCTTTTGAGGGTTGAGCTATATTAATAATTTTTAGCTGATGCGGCGGTCAGGGGCTCTAGGGACTGCTGGAAATGGTATTAATAACAGAGGAAATTATAACTTACTATATTTCCCCTGTCCAGATAAATTTTCGTACAGTTTCTGTCTATGAATGAGAAAAATCACTGGTGGTATCATTGTCAGTGTTGATTTTTTTTTTGTTTAATTACTTAGAATTATATATGATTTTTTTGCCACTGTTTGGGAAGAGTTGTGAGTTTGTGGAGCCGTCGGAGCAGTCATGGCTTGGCTTACATGCTTGTAATTTCCATCTTTTCCTGACAACAACGGAATCATCCAGTACACAACTCAACAGATATTACCGTGAATATCATCCGCGGTGTCAAGTGAATCCGGAAACCACAAATTTTATCGCTTCGGAATACATTAAAAGGTAAAAAAAATGAACACCACCAAAGCTCTTCCTCTATAGAAAAAAATCGTTAAATGCGTAGTTTAGCGGCGCAAGTTTCTTTTTAAAATTATCAAGTTGTATCGTGTGAGAGTATTGTGAGGCAATTGCTGGCAACCTTTACTTTATTGATAAATATTATTTTACATCTGAAAGTCTGTTAGTGGGTGTGAGAAGTGTTCCTTCAACCACCTCCCCCTCAGGACTTGGCTCACTCCAGGTGTCCTAGGTGTGACGTCAAGTGTGAGGTTACAGTGTGATCATATGTATATATATGGTTTAAATTGTTCTTAGAATGGCATGCTTGATCAGAGTTTATTTATGCTCTGGAGTACAGTACACGTATTGGCGTTATGTGTAGCTGTACAGTACACTTCATGCTGGTGTACAGTAGAGCTTATGCTAGTCATGTAGCTGTACAATACACCTAATGCTGCTGTCATATATTGCTGTACACTTAATGCAGTTGTCATGTGTTGCAGTAATGCTTCACAGGCAAACAGTACAGTACAGTGCAGTTGATGAAAGGTAATACTTTTTACTATTATCCTCTTCGCCACTGATTGGCTTGTTAGCCGCTTGTGCAGTCAGCCACATCTGTTACACCCTGTTGGCAAATACATGTACTGGCTCTTGAATGTATCTAAAAAAAAAAAAAACTTTCTGAGGGGGTACCCGTGATTGAATCAGGGACCTCTCCATATGCAGTCGAATGCTCTACCACTGAGCTACATCCCTGTGGGTCCAACCCTTACTGTGTAATTAACAAAATACTTTCCAGCATTATTTGTGATTAATCATTATCAGGAATTGAACATGATACTGTATTGGAACTTACTGTATTTAGATTTACTACTAAAATCACCCACACTGTATTTTAGGTTTGCATGATTATTAATAGATTTTGTGTGGATCTTCATTGAAACATTTGCTATAATGTAGGCAATGTAAAATCAATGGGGAAACAGAAGAAAATGATGTAGTTTTCCTAAGAGTAACAACTTTTTAAAATTTTCATCCTTTTTGCCACTGATCAGCATTTAGTGTTTGGAGTCAGGAGAGCTGTAAGAGATTATTTTAATGTGCTGTGTTTCTGGAACTTAATTCTTCCCTTGTTTATTAGTATTTTTTTTTATTCTTGGTAAAATTAAACTTTAATGTTTTAGTCAGGCTGCAGAAGAACTAAGGTGTACCTACCACTCTGTAGATAATTCAGTCAATTGTTGTTTGTAATAATCTAGGAGAAGCTCCGGGTTATCCAGCTACTTAACAAAAAATATTTAAGGAAGAAAATTTATTTCATACCTCAAGAATAACCAAAATTGGGTGGAGGAATGTCACTCAGTATTTTGAGTTTTTCTATTTTTTTCCTATACTGTACTGTGTATATATACAGACATATATAATATATATATATATATATATATATATATATATATATATATATATATATATATATATATATATATATATATATATATATATATATAAAAGATGTTCCCCACCTCCTGCAATGCCATCTTTGTGCCTCAACTGTTTTATGAGCAGGAATGTTTCTTAAATATTAATGTTTCCATTTCATACTCACCAAGAAACAGAAATTTCAGAATTTTTTGTATAGAGGATGATAGATTCTTTTATGTTAAGAAATATTCCCCGAGATGGACAAGGATTTTCAATGATTATAGTACAAGGATAATAATAGTTTGGTGATAAGCATGAATACATACCAGTTTCCTCAACATAGGATAAGTTGAGGATCCAGGGGGGAGGGGGGTTGTACTTGTGCTCATCTTTTTTCCAAGGACTTCTCTGGCTAAATCACATCAAGTCAACTGTCAACCCAAGCCAACACCAACTCGCCCCTACAAACTCGTACACATTCCTGGTGGGCCACTATCATCAGTGTACTAGAATTAGTGATATATGTCAGGTGCAGGTAATTTATCTCATCATTAAGCCATCAACCTGCCTCTAGTCAGTGCTAGTGTGTGTGTGTGTCAGTGTTAACATTTCAAAGGAACCACTCAACTGATTTTCTGTAGACATAAGGCGACAGGAGTTATGAACTCACATTATAAGAGTACCGTCAATGGCACTTTTTTTTTGGGGGGTTAGTTAGGGCAGGTGATCACAGGTGCTGGGTCTGATTTTAAATTAGTGTTATTTACCTAATGGCCACCCTCTAGATGTGACCATGCCGAGGGAAAGAGGCCTGTGGTCTGTGTAGGATCCCTCCATTGTTCTTGATAATTTTTTCAAGGGCTATTTTGAAACCCAGTACATGACATCACAAAGAAATGTCCTAGGTTCACATTTTCCATCCGTTTCTTGATTTTTAGTGCTTCAAGAAGATCTGCCCTATTGTGCCCTCTGATGCAGATTCACCACACAAAGGAATTCGTTAAAGAGCCAATTATTGGCGAAGAGGATAAAGTAAAATCAAATGTAAATCAGCAAAATCATGGTCAGGTTTGCCACGTTGGTAGTTTTCATGTCACATTTGGTTAGTTTTGAGTCTAGGATGCAGGCAAATTCTAGCCGAGGCAGGTTGGTGGGTTTTATTAGCTGTCATCCACCTAAGTTGGCATTTTTTAATGTTTGATTATAAAGTAAAGTGTGATATCTAATAAATGTACAGTACAAGTACTGTATAACCAGTAACATATATGTCATGTTTATAAAGTTTTGTTCTTTAAATGTTCCCACAACTGTCAGTTACTGACCTGACCGCTACCTAAGGTCGACTTTGACCGTCACCGAGTGACCCAAGGACACTCCCTCCCCCCTGGTCCCCTCCTTCATCTCACCACTGAGGTGCAGTAAGCCGATACCATTCCTCTGTGTGTGAGAATTACACTGTTATTGAAAATGCAATTAGTGACAACTGGCCGCTGGGTCTGGCTGGCCAATTCGGGTCAAACCATCATGATAACAAAATCACAGAGGAACTGCACTGTATACCTATTGTTAGACCATTATATGATCATGAAATTATAATCATATATTGTACTGATCATTATTTACTCCTGCCATGGAAATTATTGAGTAATAATTGTTGTTTTAAAATCTACAATGAGTTCATATTTGCCAAACCAAATTGTGGTGGAAGTGTGTGAAAAGATCCTGTGATCGCTGTCAGAGCAGTATCACGACAGACTTTGTTTCAATGCTTTATGCTATTTTATTCTTTGTGTATGGTGTCACCTCTGAGCTGATCAAAATTGTGTGGCGTTAGCTAAATATAATATTAAAAGTAGCGTCCCTGTAGTGAAGGTGTTAAAGGTGGGGAAAGATGCTCTCCACCTTCTCCATGATAATTCACTGGTTTAACATCTTCACTCCAGGATACCACTTTAAATATTTTATTTGGCTAACACAGGTTGATTGTAGGATATTCAGCACATAGAGACACCCTGTACACAAGGGTTTTTTAAACTCTCTCCACTAATCCCTTCACTATGGGACACCACTTGATATTTTATTTGGCTAACACTGGGTGATTTTATTTAACACAGACAAAGAGTTAAAGAATAATGACACTGGGTCTGATTTTCCATCTAAACCAGCCCTCCTCCTCCAACAAACTCTTGAATGAATGATTTAATTTTGTTTCATTTAATTTGGTGTGGGACTGGGCAAATGCTTTTCTCTCATCTGAATGTACAACCAACATCCATTTTCACACCTAAACTAATGCTTTTCCTTGGCACTGTTTCCACATTTCCAGCACTAACATTTGCAGTTTTTTTTTTTTTTCAGACATTGTGGGGAATAAAATGCATACAAAACACATGGAAATAAAGCAGAGGCCATCGCAGAGTAAACATGTGGCATTGGGCAGCATTCAAAATGGGAGGAAACAAGCTCTAGTTTGTTCAGAGTGTTTGTACAAACAATACATGTCACTGATACAGGGTGAACGACTTTGAAGAAAACTTATGTTATGTAAATTGTTGGTGAGCTGGATGTCTTCACATTCATAACTTCAGACAAAATTTTATTAATATTTTTTTAAGCAAAATAATTCCTCCAAGACAATCAGTGTTATAACAAAACACTGCTGAACAGGGTAGTGCTAAGCTGGGTATGCCTGTACTGTACACTGCTCAGTCCTGCATATGATAGGTATGAAAACAGAGAGTATACAGAAATGTATCCCATATAAACCTGGTTGCTTGATCTTATAGAGAGGCTGAGTCAACTTCGTGATTACTAACACCTGACACAAAAAGACACTGGCAGAGGCAGTGAAATCATTTCTTCTGCATCCTGAATGTAGTGGTCATAATTTACAAATACTGTACTGTACCATGTCCAAAATTATGTAATGAGGGTGATTATTGTAAAGCTTTAGAATAAGACTATCCTTCACCTTTATATTGTACAGTACTGTACTGGATTCCAATAAAGGAGATATTAGGTAATGAAATTAACCCAAACAGAGTCTTAGAGTTCTTGTTACCGAGTACAGTATACTGTACATACTGTATTCTCATTCTCTGCAATTTTCCTTTTGTTTAGGTTAGTTATAAAATGACACATCTGGATCATTGCCTCAGATCCAGTTGCAATACTTCAGTACAAACCTCTGAGTTTGCCCTGTCCATACAGGCAGCTAAGTGATCAAGGCCATATTCAAGAGTTATGTTCATTGGGGGTTCAAAGGGGGCAAGCGCACTAAATCCATGCAATTTTAGGGGCTTTTTGAGACCATATGCAATGGATATTAGGACATTCTAAAATCAATACTATATTAAGTATTTCATCCCATTGTACTATCCTTATCCCTCACTATCCGTATACTGTATACGTACCTACTTATGAAAAATTCACGACAGAATCCCCACCATAATTACAGTATGCCCTTGTGATAGATTATTTTGGGCACCTGTATATAGTGTTGACTGTATGGTACTATTTCAAGATTATAAGATTGTAACCATTTGCTACTGGGTGTTGGGGGTTTAAGGTTGTCTGGCATCATCAAATGAAAAGTGGTGAATTGTGGATCAAGTCTGGGGGTGAATCAGACCACCTTATTTTCTGTCTCACTTTACTGTATAGGTACTGTACTTCTTAAATTATGGCCCAGTGAATCATATTGACACTTTTTGAAAGATACTTTAGTACTGGACTGATTAGTTACAGGAGTGAATATATTATAAATTATTATTTTTTTATAATAAAGGCTTTATGTTTAATTATTATACAGTCTTCCATTATTTTTTACAAAGACCTTGACCAAGCCTTTTATTTGTTTTATAGTACTGTAATCACCGTCTAAATTCCTTTGTTTGCTAAAGTTCCGGCATTGGTGGTACAGCGGTAACGTGCATATCTTTCTTACTATATTATGGGTTCAAGTCCTGCTTGGCCCAGACACACCTGAGAAGGGTGTCATCCAGTGTGACCTTCACTATCAAACATCACACTTCCCTCTTGTACTTTTGCTGGACAATTAAGAATGGACTAACTGCCTGAACGTCCAGTAACTACAGTACTTTAAGTTGATAGTAGTGAAATGATAAATATATAATAGCATGTACTCAGTGCTAATTTGTGCACAATGTTGCTTCTTGGCTGTTATTTCATCCATACTCATAGTACAGTACAGCATATCCTTCCATCTTCTTTGTTCCCTTCTTTCTTAACCGTCTTCCTCAAGATTATAGATTCTATCTTATTTTTTTATCAATATTTTAGTATCCCAATACAGTACAGTATTTCAATATGTAAATATTTACTACACTAATCACTTTGAGTTCCTCTGCCCACCTCTGCTGGAAATTTAAAAACAAAGGGAAATTAGCTTGACTTGTACAGTAATGTTATAATGGTCAAATTCACCCAATATTGAAAACAATTGACCAATGATTCATAAATTTTTTGATGCTATAACATTATTATTGGGAGCATAAACTTCTAACCACTATTTTTTGTGACTATAAGTCTCCATATTTATTATTTTAATAAAGAATTTATATTCATTAATATCAGAAAATAAATTTTTGCCATTATATTTTTATACACTTTTTACTATACAGTATCCATAGTATTATTGAGTGATTTTCTTTTTTTATGATATTCACTATGATTGTAGAAGAGGATTCAATCCTTAAGCTGTAACCCTTCAATTTTCTGCTTTGTGTAGAGATTTAACTCTTAAATTTTGTGAATTTAGATTTGTTTCCTTGATCTGTCCATGGCATTATAATTATCATTATTGGACTGTACTTCACCTAAAATCTTAGCATTTGCTCTTGGGCTCAGGTTTTCTAACACAGGTTTCCTGTTTATTTTTCACAGTGAGAGTTTGCCTCAGATAAGCCTCAACATTAGTTTGTTTAGGTGCAGCTAAGGTTAGGTTAGGTTAGGTTAGGTTAGGTTAAGTTAAGTACAGTACAATAGGCGACTGTGAGCAAATGCCTAAACAGGTACCATAAAGCTAAAAAAAATAGCAAACATTCTCTCTGAACTTTGGTTAAGGTGATGACCCTCTTCTGAACCTTCACCAAAAAAAAAAGTCATAATACTGTACTGTACTGTAATAATAATAATAATAATAATAATAATAATAATAATAATAATAATAATAAAAATAAAAATGGGTGAGGATGTGGGCTGGGTGAAAAAAGGTAAACAGGTTGTTCAGGTATGTTGAAATTACTCGTGTTTTTATTTTATTTTATCCTCAAATTATGCTTTATTTTCATCCTTTTGTATACTGTACTGTAGGTGTAAATTACCAGAAAAAATATGGAGGTACGTACTCTACTTGCTAACTTTAAACCTAAATGATTTTTTTCGAGTCAATATATTTTAATAATTCAGACAACATTTCAGTTTAGTTTTGATTAGTCTAGCTACGTAAGTTGTTTTCATTGTATTTGTACAACATTGAAATTTTTATGCAGGTACCTAGCTAAATCCTGAGAGAAGTAAGTGGTAGTCACCAGGGCTGTACAGTATAGCTACCAGGGTCCTCTATCAACCATTCACCTGCGCTCCTCTTCCTGCACCTCTCATAGTGTGTTTCTGTGTCTGGTGCGTAGGGGGTGATTCATTCTTTGATGCCTCTGTCTATTCACGCCCCAGCTGATGCCCATGTAAACTCGCTCCCTCGAGTTTTCACAATGATGGAAGCCTTTTCAAACAGCCAGGCTTCACTGAGTCGGGCGAAGCAAAGTGACGGCAAGAAGAGAGGAATATGCCAAATTTGTGAAAAGGAATGGAATCTCAATAGCGACGGCATGATTCGTCAGCACAAACACAACTCGGGACGTTGCCTCGGCTCTTGGGGGGTCCCCAAGGAGAATACTACTTGTATTGACCCTCGCAAGCAGCTGTGGGCGACACCCCTCCCAACCCCAGCTCAACATTAAACCTACTGGCCACCATCAGGCATTACAGTCATAAATAATTTTCTTATTGAGAATTAATTTGTCTGAATTCCTCTTCAACATAAGAACTGTCATAGAAGACTAGGCATTCCCTCACCTGAAACCTCCAAGATAAAGTTAGAAGAGGACAGCACCATTGCAACAATCATGTAAGTTAGCAGCTACATCACAGGCTGTCCAAGACAAGCACCCACCTGGACCTGTAAGCATCACTGACATGGAAACATTAGTTTTTCAAGAGACAGAGGAACATAAAGCTGCCATGTCTCTACCACCTGGATCACCCCCCCTGGGAGTTTTACTAAAGCATGAAATAATGCAAAAAACAAGGCTTCCTTAACCAAAGTTTGAAATAATCTCAGTACTGTGCTAAAGATGTGATGCCTAAAGTTGGAGGTCCAATTATTTTTGTAATTCATTCATTAACTATAATAATAAAGTACTCTACTTGGCATTAAGCCTTACTGAATAGAACGTATTAATATTATACACATTATTCCTATTTATTCTTAAGCTAACTTAATGTAAGGTCATCATTTAGATTTTATTGTACAATTTAGTCTTGGCACATTATTTTTTAAAATTAGTAAAGGAAGTCTCATTTGTTGCTGTTATTTCACGTTTAGTAGAGCTGGTCAGCAAGTGGTGGAAACCCTCAACACTTATTTGGTTAGTTGCTGTTGCTGACTGACCGACTGTGTCTCATGACCAAACTAACCATATTTTTTCAGTATTTGCCTAGTTGGCAGTATTTCTGGGACACTTAGGTTCCTCTTCTTTGGGGCATCTTTCTAAGCTTTGAGAAAGAAAGATGAAAGGATAAAACCCATCCCTGTTGTTAATACTTTGCTGACTCTTTGCCTGCCAAGGCTGCTGGAAAACCATTACATGCTTGAACCAAGACAACAGTATAGTACTGTACTTGTATCTGCAATTTTCCAAGGCAGCATTAACTAATACTGTCAGTTTCACAGACAAATAAATGTTGGTCAACCTTTATATCGAAATGTCCTTCAACTTGGCATTTTTAGTGATATATTATTTTTTTATGAAATCCAGCTAGCAAAATTGTGCGGCACCTTTTACAGGCTACAAACATTTACAGTCTATTTACAACATTTTTTCAGAAGTCATACTTGTATAATTATCGTGGCTGCCTTGTGGTCATGGCTGGGGTTGCTTTAAGCAGTTTCCTTGTGTCGACTGCAGGAATATTAGAAATAATTTAATATATTTATGAAAGTGAAACAGGATGCGCCATGGAATAGAATTATGAAAGTGGATACCTGTTGAATCCATGAAGTGTGTTTACTCAGAGCTGTGTGTTGCTGTGAGTGGTAGTAATTAATCTTCATCTCCCAATATTGAAAGTCGTAAACCTGTTGCTGGCACACGTGGAGGTAGAGCTAAGAGAAAAGATATCACAGTATAATAGGCAGATGTTAAGAGTATTTTTGTTTCAAATAAAATGTGTTCGCACTGAATGTTTAAATGAAAGCTATATCACACATGTGATATCTTATAAAGTACAGTACTGTACTTGGAAATGACATACTACATATCTTCGTTGATGAGGACTTACTTAACCAAGGAAGGAAGGAGCCTGTGCGAGATTAGTTCTTCCACAGGTAAAATAAAACAGCATCTCAACCCTCTAGTTTTTAATTCAATGTTTCTTTTAAAGGTAGTGAATTGCCTTTAAATTTACTTGATTGTAGTTTTATGGTAGGTATCGATAGACAAGAGCTTGGCCCTGTCAGAAAATAAGCTTTATGCAGCTTAATTAAAGTGAACATGTAGTTGGAGTACTATGTACCTGTACAGGGTAATTTGATGATTGATGTCAGGTATTTGGCTCATTACAATTTTGGCCTTAAGGTGATATTATTTTAAAATTATAACTACCCAGTAAAAAAAGTGGCTACTAGCTTAAGCAGTCTCTAGGGCCTGTGTATCTCTGTTCTATATGAATGGTAGCTTAAGGTTCTCTAGCAAATTTTATCTTTGACACACATTTATACTTTGTGTAGTCATAATAAATGAAGGTCTCTGGTGTTATCACTGTTTATCTTGCCAACGAATGGTCAAGAGAATTTTTTTTACCAGTGTAGTTTCTAATACCAAAAACTAACATCAAACTTTCTTCTCAAAAACTCACTACAAAATTACTGGATCATGATAACTCCAGCTGAAGAGTGCCATATTTGCTCTTACAGTACTAATGAAGCTCTCCATTCCCTTCAATAAACTGACAAAGAATGAGCCACATATTTTTAATTGTCTAATCAATGATATATGCAGCTAAAAGTGTGTCAACCAACCATCTGGTCTAGCCAATAGTATTATGGTTTAGCATTTAACTGTAGGTTGTAGCTTAAGCTAATGCAACCTACCTGCTGCTCCCATGTAGTTGATTACTGTACTGTACAGGTTTTTATTAGGACCAATTGAAAACAGATGGCTTATGTTGTACTGTCAATCTTGAATGAATGACTTTCATGCAAGAAATATTCTCTAATCAAGTCTCGGTTTCATTATGCTATGAATTGATCAGTACTGTACAGTACTATGTCACTTGTTATTGAAGCTTTTGAAAATGGAGAGGCTACTTCACAATGAGGATGACTCTGTTATTGCTTTAATATATTTTATATTAAACCTGTGAAATAAAAAGGCACTGGTAATATTGTACCTCGTGTGAACCCAAGTCTTTATTCCATATCTATGGCTACATCTTGGTAGAATACCTTAAATAGAGACTAATCAAGTTGTTTTTTCATATGATGTAGAGAACAGAAGTGTACTTACAAATGTATTCTATTATTGAAAGTACTGCACAGTGGAGTGATTCTGCAATATCAAAGTCTGTACAGTGCAGTATTTTATATTTTATTTTCACACAGTACATGCTGATGGCCTACTGTATGGTACATTTTCAGGGCATAGCTAAACCCTTCCTTGGTAAACACCTCTAACGAACCTCATTCTTCAAGTTGGGTGAATAAGTTAATAGCAGGGTTCTTCTGCTAGTATACAGTAGACCTATGTAGGCTTAAAATATTGTATTTCCCATAGTGATTTTTAAGGTACAGTAATGTATGTTGACTCAATGAACTTACAAATATTCAGTCATCAAATGCCATTGCAAAGAAGAGGGAAGGAAATTACCTAGTCCAGTACTGTAGTGTACTTTCTTCATTTTATTTTAAAGATTTGATTTCTTCTTGGTACTGGGCTGTTACACTAGGATAGAAAACAAAGATTTACCATAAGTGTAGTCAAGACACGGCACCTGGCTTGGGTTCAGTTCCAGTTCTGCCCGATTAGTTTGATTCAATGCTAATTTCATCTAGACTAAACCTGTTCCAATTACTGCCCCATGTGATAAATAGATATCTGTTCAGTTGCAGTTTTTTTGCAATATTAAACATGATGTTGATTCATAAAAGGCTTTAATTTTATCACCAGTATTAACGCACTTGGATCTATTGGTATTATTTATACAGTATGTACTTAATGTTTTTATAAGTATATTACAGGTTGTACCTCTCTAGTCCGGCAACCTCGGGACCTGACCGGTGCCGGACCATGGAAATTCACCCTTTTCCTGGATAGATAGTGACTTGTGCTTATGCTTGGAAGCACTAGCACCACTTTCTCTGCATCATGGTCTCTTTGAAGACATATTGAAGGGTTAAATGTCGTATAGTAGCTTCTCAAATTTCGCGAATTTTTAATTCTTAACGTATTTTATTGGAACACATACAAAAATAAATAACTAAAAATTTTGACGGCGGAAACTTGAATTTTGACGGGTTTGAACGGCCCGCCGACGTGCATAATCGTGTAAACAGCGTCATTTCTCTTATGTACAAAAGATTCATTATTGTTTATTACTGAATGTCTTTTTTATTGAATTAATGTCTATGTGTGCAAAATGAGCAATACAATTCATTAATAATACGTAGAATATTAAAACACACGAGGAAATGACACAGCATTGTTTTCGTTGATTACAAAACCAGTGACTGACTGGTTCTACATATAAAACTGAAGAAAATAAGACCTTGGTTGTAGCTGTAGTAAAATTAATATGGTTGTTTTAAGTAATGTTATTTAATGTTAATAAATGGATTAATAGAAGTAGCTAACGATAATGGTAAAGAAAAAAGAGAGATCGCATATGTAAGTGCGCATGCGCACACGTGAAAACATATCGTCATTACTTTACATAAGAATTTGAAAGCAACACTTATTTACTGTTCATATATATTTTAATTAATGTTTCTGAATTTGTTTTTATTGAATTAATGTTTGTGTGTGCAAAATTAACAATACAATTTATTAATAATACGTGGAATATTAAAACACACGAGGACGAGACGGCTGCCGGCATTGTTTATGTTAAAGCTTACAAAACCAGTGACTGAGTGGTTCTACATATAAAACTGAAGAAAATAAGATCCTGATTGTAGCTGTAGTAAAATTAATGTAAAAAAAATAATATGGTGGTTTGGAGTACCTGTAATGTTATTTAATGTTAATAAATGGAACAATATAAGTAGCTAACCATTAATGGTAAAAAAAAAGTGAGACTGCGCATATGTAAGTGCGCACAATGTGAAAACATATCGTCATTACTCTACATAAGAATATGAAAGCAACACTTATTTACTGCTCATAGATATTGAAGGGTTTAATTGTTGTACTCTGTATAGACAAGCAGAGAGAGAGAGAGAGAGCAGCCGAACTGCCGGATGTAAACAAACCTTAATTTCCCGCGGCTTTGTTGTTGTTTTTTTACGGGGATTAGCCCATCCAGGCATAGGTCACTGACCCACATTGGGGCCTGAGGGGCAAAAATTTAATACTCCTGTAATAATAATAATTCAGAAAAAAAAAAAAAAAGCTGCCTATCTACCTATTGGACAAACTAAAATCGTTCCAGACCATGGGAGTTTCCGGACCACAGAATGCCGGACTAGAGAGGTACAACCTGTACAGTATTAGATATATGTGTGTATCAGTGTCAGTTACATGTCCTCAGCCCCATTTTATAAGTGAGTAGTTACAGCTAAGTACTCGTTCTTCAAATTGCATATCATTCAGTTAAGGGCGCCTCTTGGGCACGGAGATTATAGACCAGTGGTTCTCAACCTTGTTTGCCCCATGCACCCCTTTCACCATATGTCAGAATGTCATTCCCCCCTCCTTTCCAAGATTGTCTGCCTCAAAAAGTGCATTCCAAATAATATGCATATAATACTGAAAATCCTTTATTTTTTCCATATTAGTATCAGTTTCCCCCCCCCTGAAAACTTGAGGGGGGAAATTCCCCCCTGGTTGAGAACCCCTGTTATAGACTCTGCACAAAAGTCATTTATGTTCTGACATTCCAATGGAAAATTAAAAGTTCAGTACATAATGGAATAATTTTGATTCATAAGAACTTCTAAATAGGTACATCAGGATGCTAGAGCTTGAAATGTGACTTGGGTCTGCACAGTACTGTACATGCACAGGATTTTAAGCTGGAAACCACAACAAATAACAGCTTTACCTACCTTATATTCCTCCACTCATGGTGAAATTCGGGAGTGGCAGTACTTGTGAGCTGTAACTTTAGCTGAAAGATGAGAGAGTGGTGTGTACAGCATACCTGTTGAGGCCACAGTACTGCTTTTGGTCAGCTGGAACCTTCATTTAGGGATGGCAAAGTTAAGTGCCAACGGGTGATCTTTGAAACCATATTGAATGAGGGATTCCTTGTACAACCGGAATGTTTCACCAGAGATGTACCAGCAGTGGTCAGTAGAGTTCCTGGATTTCGTGAGGTGATGCTGGAAATGCATAATTTAACACTGGATCAAGATAATTCCATGGAAGAAAAGGCAAGAGGTCCTGTGTGTAGGGCAACCTGGGAAGCTGTGAAGAAAAGAAGTGTGAGCAAGATGATCAGAGGAAGGTGGGCTGTGGTATGATAGAGTAGAAGTTCTGTTGGTAGGGTGAATTTAACATAGAGCTTTAATAGACAAATATCACATGCATTTTGAAGTGATCAATATAAAAGTGTTTCTTGGACAAGGCTAGGATGCAAATTGATCCCTCATAAAGATTTTTCAGGGATTTTTACACTATATCCACACGAACAATGGCAAAATCAACAACATTCATATTTTTATGTATGTGCGTGGGCCATTTGACAAGATGATGGGTTGGTAACTGAGGGAGGAAACTTGGAAGGGCTGCTTTCCAAGCATATGGACAATACAAATAGCCTGTATTCTTCTGAAGGGCTGTCCTTATCTCAGTGATAAACTGAGCCTTGCAATTCTTGGATAAGTTTGTGACAACTGAGAAGGCCTTATCTGATAATGGAAATACCCACTTCTCATTGCATACAGGAGGGTAAGAAAAGATGTATGTATGCTCAGAGCTGGGTACTTCCTTATGCTCTTAGAAGAATTCATTGTCAGTGTCTCACTATGTTGCAGAAACCTCCAAATGCACCAGTCATTGGGAAAAAAATAACATGAATGCTGCAGCATAACCCTGCAAGGTACTGTATTACCTCTGGCCAACTTGTAGAATACATACTGTAGGGAGGCTGGTACACTCAGGAAGATGTGACACCAGTACACCAACATAAACAGCATCATAGCAGTCACTACCATGCAGGAACTTGGATAGCTATAACAAAGAACTTTTTCTCTGCGACATGGAACACAAACACAGTAATCACGTGTTAATCTCCAACCATATGTATAAGTGAAGAGCTTCAAACTCAAAATGTCATTGTTCCAGAACAATGAGCTGTGGCTGGCTCTGTAATGGTGTGTTACTTGTAGCCTGGCTACCCAGAATGAGAATATCCCAAATGCTCAAAGAGTAATCGGGAAAGAGGTGGTGACACAAATCCAGGCCACTGTGTTGAGTGACAGCTATGCCATTGAAGTTGACAGATGATGTCGGGAAACATAGCACCAACCAGACTACTCGATTGAGTTTCAGCCAGTGTTGTCTCCATCTCTGATGTGATGTACAGGGTATGTACTTTGTGTATTGAGAAATGTATTCCAGGTGATGTGCCACCTTTGGAGAGTGATTCTGTGAATGAGAAGAAATTGTATGAGTATGGGGTGATAGTAAAAATACCTTACCACCTGTACATAGCTCTAAGCTCTTGATCAAAAGCACTCAACCTTTCTTCTGTAGTAAACAGATACTTTGAGAAATATATAGGCCACCTGTAACCATGATGATCTTCTGCAGCTTGGTGCTAACAGGAGAAGACTCGTTAGCCATAAGGGATGGATGTGCTGTACAGTATATGGGGTTGGTGGGGGCAAGAAGTGAGGTATTTCTGGTTTGATGTGAAAGAATTCTTGCCTAACTTAATGTGTTCACAGAAGAACATGTTGAGCTTTCTTCAGGATCTTGAGTATGCCATAGAGGAGCTGAATGGTGTTTGCAGTAGGAACCAAGGAATTCTTACAGGTTTTGCCAAGTGGAAGGGCATGGAAAATCACAGAGAATTGTAACTTTTCCTCTAAAAGTGATATACTTTCAGCTAACGTGGTGTGGCCAAAGGGGAGGGGGGAACAAACTATTGAAAAAGCACTGCCAGATTTAACTGAACTCTGTCCTCCTCAAGCCTGGTAAACTACTGGCAGAGAAATGAAAATATATTTCCATAGTCTTGTTATCCACATAGATAAAGCAAAATCCTGGTGCATACAGAATTTGATCTTTAAAATGTTGACAAATTTTAGGGTGCAGTATGGGCTAGCAAATTTGGGATAAACAGCAAGAATGTCCTCAAGCACCCCTGATTCAATGTAGTAATCACATAGTTCAAGATACAATAAGTCAGGTGGCCTGAAGTCTTTGACAGTGTCACATTCAATGATATAGTGTTCAAGTGTATGCTTTAGAGGTTTATCACAAAGTTTACATGTTGAGTGTTCAGGTATGGGTACAGCGTTACTAACTTGCCAGATGTGTGTGTATCCTAGCCTAATTCTGGCCACGACTACATTACATTGTCTGGTTCTGTCCTTATGCTGGCCATACCGGTACCTCTTGTCACATCCCAGATTCTGTTATTACCATATTAGGTATGTCCACTAGATTCATTTGAATTTGGAAACTCAAATAGGGTCCACATTAGATAGCACCATTAATCCTTTGGCTGTGCGAGATTACCCTAAGCTGAATAAAATCGTCTGGTGGTAGCCAGAATAAAATGGCAAGTGTGGGAAACAGCAAAAGGGTTAACCGAGATATGTTTTAACCCTTTGGCAGTGCGAGGTTACCCTAAGCTGAATTAAATTTTCTGGCAGTAACAAGAATAAAATGGCGAGTGTGGGAAATGCAGCGAAAGGGTTAAGGATGGTAGCAAATTTTTCAGATGAAGGACAAGGTAAACTCATTGAGGGAGTGGTAACC